ATGCAACTGATCGACAGACCTGGACACCACAAACTCAACAGCAGGCTCGTCAGGAGCTGGTCAAATGAACGCAATTACTGATTGTACCAACGAACTTAATTGCGAGGCTATCATGTTCGCGAATAACATAAAGTATGAAGTCAAGTCAAGTGCTATGATGAAGCAAATAATTTGCAATAGGACATCGACAAACCGATTGTTTGATCAAACAGACGGCTTTTGAGGTTCAATGTGTCCAAATGCGTGGTCCTACATCTAAAAGCCGGTCGAAATGCCACTCTCAAGCATTAGTCCTATATAAACAGGACGCCACTAGAAAATATATAAAAACATAGAGGTCTGGTGTATGGACGACCACAAATCTACTGCCATCAGAACACTGTAGGAAGATGGTCAAGAAGGCAACTATTACTTTACACTGGATCAGACGAGCATTTAAAGTATTTCCTTCCGAGCTCTTCGGAAGACTTTTCGGCGTCTATGTAAACCCCACCTGAAATAGGTAATGCCAGTGGCCTCAACACGGATGAGGAAGGATAGTGACCTACTCGGACAGGTGCAGCACAGAGCAACGAAGATGGTCGATGGCCTAAAGAATTTGTCGTACCAGAAGAGGCTGAATGTGCTTGGCTTATTCACTCTATCCGACAGGCAACTAAACTGTGGTCTACTCTGAACATTCCGGATTGTCCATGGCTAAAATTGCGCGCTGAGTACGGAGGATTTTTAAGTTTGTCCGCAGAAAGCAATTGCGCGGTTATCCTTAGAAAGTCAAGAGTGAATGCACGCGGTTAGGCCGTAGGAAGTGTTCATTCAGCCAGCGGAATGTCCGACCCTAGAAATCGGTACCAATTGAGATAATGACGGTCGACACATTTCGCATGTTTAAAAGAAAAGTTGTTCGCGCAACCTTCGACAAAGACGGTCTTCTACAGCATGACTGCTGATAGGCAGCTTTATAAAACGCTCTGTCATACAAAATCCTGCCATACTGTCTCATAGTGACCAGAAGCGGTTCCTCATGACTACTGTTATTTCGAGAACCGATAATGGTTTAAATGCTAGCAACTAGTTTGAGCGTGAATATGCAAAATTATTCTACACAAATAGGGTCTTCAAGGGCTATGCCTCTAGCTCCTCAGATATATGACGGTTCAGCCGCCGCATCCGACGATGTCCACCATGTACGCCCCATCAAGGTAGGGCAGGCAAATTGACTTGCGCGTGAATTATTTTATAGTGATTTTGAACCTGCGCTGCATCTACCGCGCTCTCTCATCCTCCCCCACCTGAGCCCGTTGTAACGACAGGGTCAAGAGTACCGGAAGCAGGGAAGGGCGCAGGTGGATGGCGTGGGCAAACCCGCACCTTGGCGTCCCACTCCACGCCCTCTGGCCCACACAACAACTGACCATGATTTTAATCAACAACAACGATACCATGACGGGTCAGAACGGAGAGGATGACTGGACAGACATTTTCATGATCCGTATACCCAACGTGAGCGCAGGCGCACCCACCGGCAGGAAACCAGGTGACGGAGAACGGCCAGCGCGAACGAGGTTGCGAGGGCGATGGTTTACAGATCCTGGTATGGCAGACACTTACGGACCTTTAGACCCAGAAAGCTGACACGTGGCCCTGCATTTGCCTGGGCCGTCATCTTCAAGGCCAATTAAACAGTCAGTCGTCAATTGAGAGGCACTACCCATAAAGTACACATACAATCCTCACATGCGTGAGAGTGTCAGAGGTAACGTTAACAAGGAGCCGTGACAGTCTGGCTCTCAGTCCACAAGCCCACCAGGCCGCCACTCCACACAAACACACACAACTGGCAGACCGCGTGGACTGATTCGAGGCGCCAGACGGAAATCTTCCAGGCCACGACGCTTGGCGCACCGTGATAGTTTCAGAATCAAATTACAAATGAAGGAAAGGAGCCGCATGGAGACGGAGCCGAGAAGCACACTTCCCACTTGCGCGAAAGATGGCAACTGGATGCTTGTGGTGGGTGATTGTGTTGGGAGATGCGGGTGCTGGTGGGAGAAAGTGTAATGCAGTGGTGTAGCCGGCGGTTGTCTACTGTGGATTTTCGTGAATTCGCATGTGTGCTGATAGGCCCATACGGTGAGTGAATGTGCGGGTGCAGTGAAAGCAGTTGAGGCGGATGCGCCGATGTTATTCGGGTGCCTCAGGCACTGGCTCGCCAGGCTTTGTGCGATGAATTCTCAAGCGATCGACCAGGTTGATGGGAGAGATTGACGTGCGGGGACAACGTGGACGGGTACGAACCGAGTCCACATTGATAGGAGGTGGGGATGTTGGTGATGCTTAAAGTTGATGAGACATCGGACGTCGTCCGTCGGTGAGGATCGTGCGTGAAGACGTGGTAGTGTTGATACTGGCTGCTGCAGTCGATGCAGGGGCTGAGGCAGGACGGATGGTGGCTGCGGGACAGCGACAATGTGATCGGCGGTGATCGGCGCGAGGTCTGTGACAGCGATGGGAATGGGAGAAGGGGTGGACGTTGACGGACTGGTGGCACACTGGGTCCAAAGGTGTCCAAAAGGCTGCTTCGTGCGCGGATTGCGCGTTGGCAGAGCAGGCATGCTGGAAGTGGCGGATGCTTGGAACTGAGGAAGCAAGGCAATTGCGATTTGCGAGCCCCCCATCTAGCTTTCGCGACAGTGGTTTGGCTTGCTTTAAAGATGACGGCGCCGATGTTTCCTTCTCTTCCCGAGGCCGGTTTGTTCGGGGCGGGGCCCTCTCAGGTCTCAGGACTTATATGAAATTGCTTAAGAGAATTTTTTAAAATATCCTTGTAGCGCTGTTTATATCCTGCTTGTCAACGAGTACTCGTGGCGACATCACGAAAGAAAAGTTATTTTGGTAGACTAGTCTTCCATCCTTATGATATAGTCGCTCCAAAGGAACTGTAGTTGCCTCAGCATGGTGTGGATGCTGAGGATTCCGGTCCGTTCTAGGACTCCCGTGTTGGGGATACTGTCTTACCATCTCAACCTTAGTATCCTGTAAAGACAGGTGAGATGGGAGTGGTTGAGTTTCTTGGCATACTTGGAGCAGATGGTGCAGGTGTCCGCCACGTATAGAAGTGTTGTCAGGACGACGGCCTTGTACATCTCCTGTTCGGTATTCGGTTAGAGGCTGTGACGATTCCACACGGAGTTCTGTAGCCGTCCGCGGGCTTGGCTGGCATTGGGGATCCGGTGCGTCCCTTCGTCGTCGATCCTGGTGCTGATGAAAAGTGTGCTTCGGTTTTGAGTTAGTTGCCGTTGCAGTAATACGAGGAGGAGTACAAGGTTGCGTATTGGGTGATGGTTGGCGCATGACTAACTTTTTTTTCCTGTTGATAGTCAGGCCGAAGTTGGCACACCCGACGGTGAAGAAGTCCACGTTCACTTGCATTTCCACTTCGGTAGTGGTGCTGAGTGCGCAATCGTCGGCGAAGAGCAAATCGTGGACAGTGGTCGTAGGTAGCCGCTGTCGGGCCAGCATGTGCTTGCTGTTGAGAAGATGCCTGTCAGTTATGCAGGCGATGTGTATCCCGGGGCGTTCATCACGGTAGGTGTCCATTAGCATGAGAGACATCGTGCGGCTGAAAAAGATGGGGACGAGTACGCAGTCCAACCTCACTCCATTGGTTACTGTGAATGCCTCGGAGATTGAGCCGTTGTCCATGACGTGCGCGATTATCCCGTCGGGAGGCTGACGTGCCATGTACGTGAACAGTTAAGGACAGCCAAATTTCTGCATGATTTTCCACAGCCCCTCACAATTCACCGTATCAACGGCTTTCGTTTATTGCACGAAGGTAGTGTAGATGTGGGTTCGCATCTCCTGCATTTCTGTAGCTGGCGAGCGACCAAAACCATGTTGTTGGTCCAGCGGTGTCGTCGGAAACTACAGTGACTTTCCGGCAGGAGACCCTGCTTCAGATGGGTGTTTAGACGGTTAAGAAGAATGCATGCAAAGATCTTCCCGGTGGTGCCGAGTAACGAGATGCCTCTGTGACTGTCACAGACTTTCTGGTTGCCTCTGTGCTTTTAGAGGTGAATGGCGGTTGCGTCCTTGAAGCCCTGAGGAACTTATCCACAGCGACACAAATCCTGAAATAACGTAGCGAGGTGGTCCATCAGGCAGTGGTCGCCGTGCTTCTAGATTTAGGCTGGGATTTCATCGGAGCCTGATGAATTTCCGCTAAAGAGTTGCTGCACAGCGCGAATGGGTTCCAGGAGGGAGGGCGGGAGATCCAGGTCGGCGCTGGTCAGTGGCGGCGTCAGAGATTGTGGATAGGCGGTTGAGGAGGCTTCTGAAGTGCTCGATCCAACATTTCAAAACCTGCGATTTCTCCATCAAAGGTGTCGAGCCATCGGGGCCGAGAAACGGTGCAGTTCCTCTGGTTGGAGAACCGTACATCGTCTTGATTGCAGAGAAGAAATTTTTCGATTCGTTGCGGTCTGCGTGTGCCTGGGACTTCTCGGCCTTGCGAGTCACCCAGAAGTCCTGTATTTCACGTAACCGTTGCTGCGCTTGACGGTGACATTGATAGAAGGCTGCTTTTTCGCACCAGTGGGGCAGTTGATGTAGGCTCCATGGTATTTGTTTTTCTCGGCCAGCAGGTAAGGGATGACAGCGTCATCTTCATCAAACCAATTCTGCTGCTGAGCAAAATCCCTAGAAATGGACTTGTCAGCAAATACAGTCTACGTTGACTTTAACAAGGTCTTTGACAGATTCCACAAAGATGGCCAATATCTAAACCACGTCTAGTGGGGGTAACTGACAACATCCTTAAGTGGTTGGCAGACTTCCTCTCAGACAGATGTCAGCATGAAGATGCGATCACCGAAACAGGAAATTTATTTGCCTGACGTTTCGGATTCTCACTCGAATCCATCATCGGAGACATTCGCAGATAAAGGTGATGGTGGCACCAGGAGTGCAGTATTTATAGCACGTGGCTGCCGTGGGACCGTATGCGCACTGCAAAACAAGCCAAAAGCTTGTTGGAGGATCGCCAGTCCTATATCCCATGCGAATCCAACCCCATGAAAACGTTGACACGCGAGATTAACGCGACGCTGCTGGCAATGGAGAACTCAGGTGCAATATCGCCAATCGACCGACGCATGGCGAGAGCGGAAGAAACGGCCCTAGCCCGATTCTACGGTCTCCCAAAAGTGCACAAAGAGGGCGCTCCTCTCCGCCCTCTCGTATCACTAAAGGGCACTCCAACCTACGGACTGGCAAGGTGGCTGTTCCAACGTCTCAAGTTTCTAACCTCCGATTCGAACACCACAGTCAGCTCGTCAACGTAATTCTTGGAGAAACTTAAAGGTGTATGTCTCCTGCCAAGCGATATCATGGTTTCCTTTTATGTCACGTCCCTTTTCACTTCTATCCCGCAGGACCTGGCAGTCGAGACCATCGATCTACTCCTACGAGAGAAATACGAAGAAACGGAGAATCGTCTCGGACACTCCCAAATCATCCAGCTCCTGAAGTTCTGTCTCAAGACGTACTTTACGTTCGACGGAACAATCTACGAGCAGGTGAAGGGAACGCCAATGGGTTCGCCGATTTCGGGACTCATAGCCGAGGCGGTCCTACAACAGCTGGAGTCGCTGGTTTTCCGACACCACAGACCAAAATTTTGGGCTCGGTATGCAGATGACACCTTCGTCGTCATCAGTCGGGATCAGGTGCTGGCGTTCAAAGAACAACTTAACACCGTCTTCCCGGACATTCAATTTACGATGGAGGAGGAGGAAAACAATCAGCTGGCCTTCCTGGATGTCCTCGTCTGCCGCAAAGATTGTGGTGGCCTAAAAACCAAAGTGTTCAGGAAATACTGAACTTCAATAGCAACCACCCGATCAGTCACAAACGCAGTTGCGTAAGGGCGCTATACCGGCGCGTTGAGACGCACTGCAGTGAAATGGAAGACAAGGTTGCTGAATGACAATATCTTCGACGGGTAATGAGAGCCAATGATTACCCGCGCAACTTTGTCAACCAGTGCATACGAAAAGGACACCAGGGACCAAATCCAATCGGCCCCAAATTTTGGCGGGCCCTTCCGTACGTGAAGAACGTCTCGGAAGCCGTTGGTCGTCTTCTCACTGCACATGGAGTTGGGGTTGCACACAGGCCGGAAGCAACCATTAGGCGTCAAATAATGAGGCCAAAAGACCCGCTGCCACGGCAGGAAACGTCTGGAATCGTTTACCGGATCTGGTGTAGTTGCGGATAAAGCAACTATGTCGGAGAAACTGGGAGATTACTCCGTACGCGAATTGCCGAGCACACAGAAGCAGTGAGGCGGGGGGACGCTAACTCTCAGGTGGCGGCACACTCGACGGGAACCAGCCATATTTTCAAATTTCAAGAGGCCGAAATCCTCGCAAGGGGTGACAACCGCGTGAGCCGCGAGCTGCTCGAGTCAGGGTTTTCAGGCCCGCAATCCATCAACAAGCACAATGACCTCCCGGCACCCTATTCCGTACTGCGATTTTCCCTGGGCAGGAGAATCAGTCACGTGGGGAGGGCGCAGGCGAGCAATCATCACGGTGACAGTGAGCCAGTTTGCCGAGCAATCGTCACGCCAGCATCCAGCACGGATGACGAAATCGCGGCCATTAATGACTCGGACTCGGACCAACAAACTATCATCGCATCAATTACGACCCCAGCGGTGATTGTGAGAACTGTTAACTGCAGTGCGCATACGGCCCCACGGCAGCCACGTGCTATAAATACTGCACTCCTGGTGCCATCGTCACCTTTATCTGCGAATGTCTCTGATGATGGATTCGAGTGAGAATCCGAAACGTCAGGCAAATAAATTTCTTGTTCCAGTGATCGCATCTTCATCTTCTGAACTGCTACCTGGAGCTCGCCTGTTCGCTTCTATCAGATGTCAGCATGTTTGCATTGGTGATGCCGAATCGGAGGGGGGAACCGTTTACAGTGGGGTTCCGTAGGAGGGAGTTCTGAGTTCGATTCCGTTCTTGATATACGTGAACGACTGCTTTAATTGCCTAACTCGCGAGAAAGCAATGTTCGTTGACGTCATGAGAATATGAAATTCGATGGGAGGGTAAGAGGGTGCGCTTAACTTGTAGAATAACTTAGGTCGATTGGAACAGTGGTGTGAGGATTGGCCTCACGAGCTTAATTTCAGCAAATGCCAAGTCATCGGACTGCAGTTTATCTACAGGAGGAGGAGGAGATTTAAATACCAGTACTACATCGAAGGTCACCATGTGGAGGCAGCAGCCGAGACAAGGGACCTAGGGGTGTGAATTACGCTCACTCTTACTCATTCGTCTAACCGCCCCAAGATAGCAAAGGAGACTATGTGCATCCTGGACGTGATCAGGAGATCCCTCCATAACTTCGACTAGGAATTTTTTGATCGAGTTCTTGGGATATTAATCCGGTAGGTGTTAGAATACTGCGTTCAGGCATGACGCCCTTGGATGAAGCAGGACTACACTCTTTTGGGGAACGCCTAACATGGGCCGTCCAAACTTGCCAGCGCACTGAAGTACCTACCCTATGATGGACGACTAGAAAGGCTCAGCATTTTTTCTCCATATTGTAGGCGTTTCCCCAAACACAAGATCAGTCGTTCATGAGATGGCCGAGCTCAGACCTGAGGTCTTTGAATCTGGCTCAGACATTTAATGCATTACAGAATTTTGGGCTCACCCTCTAATTTCCGACCCGGCGTTCGCCATAGATAATCTGAGTTTACACTGATAAGACCACGTTGAAAAACGTGGCAGTGGCTGTCTTCCTTATATCAGAGCCTCACTTGTACGTTCACCATATGATCAGATCATTTTTTCATTATCTTGAAATATATGTTTCCCTTCAGTCTTCCTCCCGCAAAATAGAAAAGCCGTAATTGGCTGTGTATATAATTGCATTTGTTGCACCAGCAGTGGAATACCTCTCTATGACATCTTTAAAAAGATCGCGGTAAGTCCATTTAATGTCAAAAATCTCGTCAGAAATTAAATATTCTCAGTCATTTATTTATGCGGATGACCTTAAGTGCATATATTCATCAACCATATCTACGACCCAAAATGACCTGAAACAAAACCATGCGGACTTATTTGCTCTCTCAGTGTGGGGGCCAAAACACCATAGGGAATTACCTCCATGTAACTGCCATCATATGTATTTTGGACCTGAAACTCCGCCCCAACTGATGGTCATTCAGGACACACCTATGGCTGAATGTGCCACCATCAAGGACATAGGTTTAATCAACTCCAATAGTCCAGATCTCTCGCCACACGCCCACAGAATTACGGCCAAAGCCGCCCAGATTTTTGGCTTTATTTATCATGATTTCTTTCCTCCTGAAGTTAAATTAGGACTTTGTCGAATGCATGTACTTCCCGTTCTTGAGTATTGTTGTCTATTCTTTGGTTTGATGAATGAGGCTAGTCGTTCAAAAATTGAGAATGTTCAAAGGCATTTTACTAGAAGACTCTTAAGCACGGCACATCCAAAAATTTCCTGCTCAGGTACGTGCCAGATAACTAACCTAAAATCTCTATGGGTTCGGAGACTTGAAGCACGCTTCTGTCTCCTTCTTCGCATTAATAATAATTCAAATCTTCCTTGGATTTCAGCCCTTACCCTTGTTAGTTGCCTATACGATCTTCGTAGTTCCCCCTTGATTTTACCTCCTCCCGCCTCCTCCACCTCTAAGCGCTCCCTTTTCTTTGCTTCCGGGCATACTATCCTTTGCAATAACCTTCCAATAGATGTAGGATCATCAGATAAACTATATAATTTTAAGAGAGGGCCGCGCCTCTACCTGAATACTGACTGGATTAAACTTTTATTTTCCTCATCCTTCCCGGACAACTTTCTTCATGACATTGAGAAATGAACATCGAAAATTTAGGACGCCGCCAGCGAATCGCCTTATCCGCTCTCATTTCCTTCTTTTGCGTGCAGTTTCGTTTTCTAGGAGCTGTCATCAGAAATTCCGATTTTTTTCGATTTTTCAGTTCATGCGTCGTGTCCCCCACAGAACGTGCTATTCTTCCTGACAAATCCTTTCAAGAAAGTAGCAGCGATATGTTGACGTGCACGCTGTAAGCCGCCTCTGTTTCGCTGATCGCCGACCCTCACTAGGAATCCGCTCTGGCCTCTTAGATAGTCTGGCGATATATCCCCGATATTATGTGGATATCGACGTGTCGAGATTGACAGGCGTAGGCGAAAATGGGTTCTTGCAGTAAGCACGACAGAAGAATCTTCACGGAATCCGTTCTTTTTATATCATGGGAACACTCACGCTATTATAACTGCTGACTCCCGTTGGTAAGTAGCTTGTTTTACCGTGCGGTAGCCTACACTGAGGACTTTGAACGGAAAACCCTACTAATTGTAACACCGTTAACTACAAAGATCTAGTTTTTCGAGTTGTCTATTAATAGTATGTAGAAAAGTAACTAATATGAACATAAATATATATATATATATATATGGGGTACTCCAAGACGTAATTATTGGCGAGTTATCTTAGGTATTGGAGTGGAATTAGATAGTTCGGGTACCTGGTCTGAAGGCAATTAGCTAATCATTTGCTGCCGTGGTCATTTGACTACATATAATCGTTTTTATGCCGCATCAAGAGACCATTTTAATTGTTTGTTAAATGCAGCCTGCAGTTCATAGTATCCGGCCCTGGCTCCTCTGTTCCGCCGTAAGCAAATGTCTTCATAAAGGAATTTTTGAAGGATATGCATTAACTCACCTGTAATAAGTGCGCATAGTCACGAACCACAGAGTGAGGCCTTACTTTTCTACCTCTGAACCTCAGATGTAACGATACCTCATCGCCAAAGAGTGCGCAAGATGTCTCTTTGACGAAGCCATCAGTGTTGCGCACTACAAGACCAGCGAGATATGAATCCTATTGGTAATTACTAAGGAAAGGTGCCAAAAAATTTCGCGAAATTTTTTGCTACGATTAAATCCTGCCCTGCTTGCCTATTTCAGCTTGGTACCGGGGACAAAATGCTCCAAATGTCTTTTTATGTTTATCTCTGTGAAGTCTTGTCGGTTGCTGACGAGCTGTTTAATCGGGTTTGTAGGCGTCCCATCATCCGGCTCCACTGCTGGCACTGTGGGATCGACCCTCACTTCTTCCCCTTTTCGAAGTCGGGTTGGAACCGTGCGCATCATTTCCATAACCCATACCTAATACTTAGCTAGTAGACCGAGCCTCGTATGTATCTCCTCAAGTAAGCCGGTGGCATTCCTGTTGGCGTCAGCTGTTTAGAAATCTCTAAATAGAGAACATAATAAGGAGTGACACCGTCTCGCCTAGACGGCCGGAGGACGCGGGTATCGTCTCTCTGGAATCCTTATCTTCCATTGGTCTGCTTTTTGGTTCCCCTGCCCTATGACAATCAGTTAACATATGAAGCTTACCCGCAAGAGTGGGGGTGTTTCGATTCATGACCAAAATGGGGTTTTTAAAGCGCTTCAGGGCACCTTCACGGAACATCTGAGCGGGTTAATAATAAAGTCTACAAGTACACAGGAAAAAGGCTGAAATTAGATAGACAGGGTAGGGCGTTCAGTCTATAACCACTTCAATCCGTCAGCCCCCTCGAACCACTAACCATGTGGACTGCGTGATTTTACGATTCCCGAGCACTGTTACCAGAGGGTGAGGGGTAGTAGGTAGTGGTCATGTACAGGGTCTACACCTGAGCGCCAAGTGCCAATGACAGAGCCAGGACGGCACCCCTAGGGTATTAAATAAAACAGTTATCTATTTATTTATTGTTTCCATTAAAACGAAAAACCGTTCCAGGGTGAGCACGTGAGCTTCCAAAACGATAGGGGCAACGCTGTGCAGCGGATACCGTCATCTAGACAAGCTGTATAGACGTGCAGGTAGGACCTATTGGAATAGTTCAGGCAATCGAACAAATTATTGCATTCTTCATACACTATGTGGACACGTCAACCCAAGTATAATAGAATGCTTTTGACGCAGACTACCTTCTCCCCTAGACTAATGGACCAGTTGGCAAGCAAGTTATCAGCTCTAATCTTTGCTGCTATTGTGCACAAATACTGTTCACACATGTCAAAGCCCCTTGGCAATGGACCGCGCTGCGGTTGTGAAGAAGCCTACTCCTTGGGGCTCCTGCGGGTCTAGTATCTCCAAACCCACCGCACTCAACTTCCTAGCTACCTGCATCCGAGGGTGTGATGGTTTCCGGGGCATTTTCCGTAGTCTTTCCAGGCAGCTTTCAAAAAGGAATCATGAGAATGAGTCCAAAGGACCATGACGCTGAACGTCTTCCGCAATGTACGTTATATTGTGCGTACTGTACACCATCTATGCGTGAACACATAACCGTTTAAATTTGCGAGCAAGGAGCCTAAACAATAGCCCGACATAAACAGTAATGCCTGGGCATACATAGTGGTAATCCAAAGATCGGACAGCTTAAAACAGCAGTAGAAAGTGCAGCCAGTTCCTTCCGGGTAACGCATCCTTCAGAACAACTATTCCTAGATAAAGGTGGAACTGCTTCCGGGATTCGAATTCACTTAACACCCTTTTCTGTTGGGAAAATTCAGTCGGACAAAGTGCATTAGAAGACAACAAACGTCTACTAATGTCGTCTATGACAGACAAGGACAGCAAAGGCGGATTTTCGGTCTCAAAGAAATGCTACTGGTGACTGCGCATACTTATATTATATTCCACTTTCCTTAAGTGATCTAATCTTGTTAGCAATCTGCTTACAAAATGCTTGCACGTCGCAAGGCTCTCCTTTTCCGCAATAAATGGCTACAGAAAAATGAGCCATTAAGAACGGTCCGACAATCCTCGCTAGTATTAGCAGCAGTTCCACTTTGGTCTTCCATTACATTGGC